TTGATTTCAAGACACAAACATGACTCTCCACACACAACTGTGGTAGGCACGTGCTGTTAAGTTTGTGCAGTTAAGCACTCAAGTCTGGAAGGCCCAGGATCTTAAGTTTAAGTAGCGAAGGTATGTATTTCTTTGAGAGATGGCATGTGAGGAGGCTAGCACAGAATTCTACTCTGCCCAATTCAGTTAGACTGGATTTGGGTAGGACTGTGACAAACCTCATGTAGCCAAACTGATTGTTAAGAAAGGTTTTTTGCTCGTGTTGGCTAAACTGAGCTACTACAGAAATAAAACCCCATGGGGTAGAATCAGATTAACAGAAAACTGGGAACTAGCAAATTCCTCCAGAACGCAGAAGACTCTACGTATTATCAGGAAAAGTCCCCCTTTTCAAATTAGCAGTGGGAAAATTGGTTTAGCTGTTACTGCACAGGAATAAACAAAGCAAGTTCAGAACTAACAGCAGACCCCAGGGCTACAGAGCTCTTTTATTTCCTTGGAGATCCTCCCTACCTCAAAGCTTTCCACTGCGTCTCAATTCACAGATGAACACTCTCGGCACCAGGGACGATGGGAGGGAGGTTTGTTTTCACAGCTACTCTTACGTCCAGGATCTCCACTGACATCCTTAGTCACTGAAAAAAATGTATGAATTTGCATTTGTAGCTAATTTTAATAATTGTTTTAGAGTTAAATCTCAAGAGTACAAAGCTATGGAAGTGTTCTGATTTATTTTACAGTTAAACAGGGGTTTTTGGTGTATTTTTCAAATTCCTTTGAAACCGTAGACTGTCAAACTCCACTTACACAGTGAAGCCCAAATGGGTTAGATGCCTTTTGAAGGGATCCACATGGAAGAATGGTGTCTTCAATATACGTAAGTTGCAACAGTAAATATTTACTACATAAATATGACATGTGAACAGTAAAAAAAAAAAAAGGAAGACAAGCAGTAAAATGTTGTTTTATTTGAAGAACAGCGAAAGGGTTTGAGGAAAGAGGAAGCACACTGGGGTTCATAGAAAATTGCCTCCTTCATTTCACTTTTTGTAGGGTTCATTAGTCAACTCTGCTGCTGCATTGATGCACATGCAGTGCCCCTCCCCTGAGCTTTGCCAGCTGACACCAGCTAGAGCTGTCTGATGTAATTCTCACTTTCCTCATGCTATAAGCTTCAGCTGTGTTTCTCACTGTCTAAGTCTGAGGGGTAGAAAATAACTCTTGCTATCAGAAATAGGTTGTGAGCTTTCTCTCTAGTCAGTAGTTGAAGAAGAGAGTAGCAGAAGGATGGCAATGAAAAGGGCTGGGCTGCTTTGCCACAGGCTTTCTGTGCCACTGAGCAAGTCACTTAATCTCCCTGTACCTGTTTCCCAGCCATATGAGGGATAATAGCTTTTCCTTAGCTTACTGCAGTGTTGTTAGGATAAAGACTTTGAAGGGATTAGGTCCTGTAGCTGGAGGCTTTAGAAAGCACTTTGGATAAAAGAAGATGCTGAAAGCAGCCATGGGGGTCCCAATGTAAACTGTACCTAAGCCACAGTGGTGTCCTGGCATCCTCCTGGTGTTTGCATCATGCATCTCCCTTCCCCAGCCTGACTAAGAAAATGATTTCTCCTGTGTTGCTCACACACGTGAAGAAAAATGAAAGCATGTGTCAGGCAGTTTCCCAAAATATTAGATACACAATCATCTGCTGCTGAAATGCAAAACAGTAACACTGGATATCTCCACTTCTATCTTAATTAGAGTTGAAGCTCCCTTTAACTGTCAGAGCTAAGTAGTAAATTGCTTCCAGAATATCCAGGTGAGATGACAAATCTCTTAGTCACGATTTTGACTTACTAGTTTCAGGCCCAACTAGAAGAACTGAGGTTGTCTGACTCAGCTGAGACCATTTTGCTGAATCACTAGCATAGTCCCTCAGCGTTTCTTCCAAGGTGGCTGCATAGACACACAGGTCCAGCAGCTGCTTTCAGTCAGACGGCTCCTGTGCTAACTGAGGCAAAACCTGGCATTGTGGGAATTGAGGGTGTCACTAATGTTATACAAAGAACAACCCAGCTGCCCAGGCTCTGGGCAAGTGGTGCAGTTGTCCTGCAGTGAGTGTACTTGGCATTCTCCCAGAGTTTACTCCAGTGCTCTGACATCGCAGGGTGGCTGCCATTTAAGACTATTTGCTAGGGATTTATACTCTTTTTCACCAACAATAATAGAATTTTGTTCCCCTTTTAAAATTAATTTGACCTGTTCTTGGGAATGAAGATTCTCAAAATCAATTTTTTTCCTTTTCCTAACAATAAAAGTACAGAGGTCTGATGACTTAGGGGCCCGGTGATGGAGCTTTTATATAGATTTTTGCATTCTTTTGTAGGTCCCCAAAATCATGCCAGACTATGAAAAATTATATTTTAAAGTTGCGATGCTTCATGTATTTCAAAAGGAAGCTTCTCCAACATAGTCCTAATGTTTTGCATGAATTTCTTTCAGTAATGCTTCTGAGAAATTATAAGCTGATACAACATGGTACAGAGGCAATAACAGAAGAATTATATAAATGTAGGAAGAATTATGCAAATGCAGGTTGGAATTTCATTCAAGAATTTTTGTACTAAGGTATCACAGAGAATGTCTGTGCTTTCAAGTGATGGAGACCTTCAGTTCCTTTCTTTACTAGAAAACTTATGTTCAAAGACAGACTCTTAATGGAAGCTAGTATGGGACTGGAGCCACACTGGCACACTCTTTTGGGGAGTGAGTGTTCTGCTCATTGCTCTGACCCACAGGGCCCTGAGCGAGGCAGCTGCTGTTACTGTGTAAGGAGAGCACAACTCCAGAGACACAAGGTTTGGAAAGCACAGCTCTGCACTGCAGGCAGCACACAGCTGTGGTTACTCTTGAATTAGATTTTATGTATTTAATTAAGATGGGTATGTTAATTACAAGCTTGCTGTGCCTTAGCATAAAGATTGTCATCTCTCTTTGCTAGTTACAGTAACTCCTGCTGGATGATCAGGGCAGCTGTAAAAAGACACGGTTTTCCCCATCCGTTCCTCCCTTATGCAGGAAATGCCCCAGGAAATGCAATTGAAACCAAGTTAGATGGCAAGAAGGATGCTGGAAGAGAACAGACTAGGAAGTGTCTACTGTATGCCAAACCATTTTAAGGATAGATTGGTAGGGGCAAAAAAAGGATGACAGTTACTGGGCAGAAAAGGTACATGGCAGAACTTTGGAGTTATCTCCTAGCTTTGACCAAGAACACCTCTGCTTTTACAAACTGTGCTTACAGCAAACACATGTGACACTTCTCACCTGTTCTGTAGCCTTTAGGATGCCAACAGTGCACAGCTCAAGAGAGGAGCTCTCTTAACTTTTGTAGTAGTGTAAAAATCCTGCTTGTTTTGATTGGGAAAATGGCTGTTTACATCCTTAACTGCAAAGTTTTACAATTTCAATCTTAGCTCTGTTGTTGTACCAGGAGCTCCCTTTGAAGTTTTGATGCTCCAGGGAAATCTTGTTTTGCATTGTATGAGATATAGATTATAGTCAGATTCTGATCCTTTGCGACAGCTCAGAATAAATCCTGTTGGGATGCTGGCCCACAGCCATCAGTGGAATGATTCCATGGCAGGTGGCAGCAGCATCTGTTTTTTATGTTTTTAATAGGTGGGTCCTCAAATGATGAGCAAGTAGTGGACAACTCCATTTCTTTTCTTTCAACTAAACCTTGACAAGGACATTCTCACTTGCAGTTAAAAAGTGAAGTGTAAGTTACAGCAGAGCTGCAGGTCTGCAGACAGCTGCTCCACCTCTGGGAGCCTCTGAGCGTCAGTGTTATCCACAGGGATCTCAGCCCTCAGGCGATGCTGGCAAACTGAATTTTGCAAAGGTACCTTTGGGGAACTACTTTAGTGCCCCTCAGCCCTTTGACAGTGTATTAATGAGGCCATAATTCCAGCAGCATTAATCAGACCCCGGGATGTAAAAGGGAATGCTTCACAGAGAAACACTGTGTTCTCTCAGTCTGTCACTATGGGAAGGCATTGGTAATGTATGAGTGGGATTGGTGATACTTTTCAGTTCACATGCTTAGGGATTTCCTCTGCAGCTTCAGGAAAGGTTTTATTTCTCTGCAGGAACAAGTGACAGCGGTGTCTTGAAAGGAGGGGCAGGTTTCACAGGTAAAGTGTGGGTGTGAAAAATGGTGTTCAGGCCAGCAGGGTGATTTGTCTGCACTAACTCATACTCTGAGACAGACCAGGTCTGTTCTTGGATTTTAAGGAACCTTTGTTTTGTCTTTTGTTATAGAGCAAGCTGGGGAAAGCCAGTGTTGATGCTTGAGAAAAGAGCTGATGTGCAGGGATCAGGGCTCTGTTCACAGCATTGCTGCAAATATTCATCCAGGATCTATGGCAGATGCTCAAGCCTGGCCAGCTGCTCTGGTGGCATTTGGTGACCACCAATGCCAGAGATGACTAACCCCACACTATGTGCAATTCTCTCCCCATTTTCTCCTCTATTTCTTTCTCCTCCCCTTTTGTTTGTCTTTACTTAGTTAACTTCCAGCCAAACACAAGGAGCAGGGGAGTGCTTTACTCAGCACACTGAGAAGTAATACAGGGTCACAGCCCTGGCTCCTACAGCATTAACACAAAATGCTAAGTGTGTTTCCTTAGTGGGACATAAGCTCTGCCCTGCCAGTCAGGCCTGTGATCAGTTTGGCCATGGGCCTAACTTATGGCGGATACTCTGAATTGTTTGCTGTTTTGAAAGACAGCAAGGGAGGGGAAGAGTTTGATATAGTCCTATTAAGAAACAGTGTAAACACTGTGGTATGAGAAGGAATTGAACAGGAGGGTTGTGATCCAGGAATGGAAAACATGGGTTAAAAGAATGGCAATGTTCTTTTAAGAAACAGGTACTTTTTACTTGATCCAGGAAAGGGATAGTGAACAAGTAAAGATGGTCTCAGTCACTTATATTCTCTGGTTTTGATGTAGGTCTGCTCCAGCTCCTACCCAAGGTCCCACCAGTGCTGGGGCTGCAGGGCCTCCTCCTGCTACCAATGTGTCAAGCAACAAACGGCTGCAGCAGACACAAGCCCAGGTGGATGAGGTAAGTGGCTTCAAGTGATTTGTTGCTCCTCACAGGAGTGTTGCTATGGTTGTTTTTTAAGATGCTTTTCTCCATGATCAGCAACACTCGTCTGAAGGCAGTGGATCTGGGAAATGAGGATTATCAAAGGATGGCATTTGTGAGAAGCAGACAGTACAAGTGAGATTCTGAGTATAAACATCCTTGTACCAGGAACACTTCTGCAGAATTAATGTGGGCATTGGTGCCAATTTGGGAATTCCTCCCAGTCAGTCAGGCTAGGAGGAAATATCATAGTGGAACCAGCTCTTTTAAGATGTTCCTGAAGGTTAGACACCAATCTCACAGACTGTTTCACAGAGACAGACCTTTGACTTCTCAGAGGTAGATTAAAGCCACGAGAATTGTGCAGCTGAGGCCTGTGTTAATTAGCCAGAGCTCTACTGATTAATCATCGCAATTTATCCCTGAAGAAAGGCACCCACACATGATGTCATAATAGCATCTTTAACAAATCCCCACTCCTTTTGTTGGTCTTGGAGGACCATCTGGCTGTTCCAGCTGGGATCCTTAAATTCCTGCAGCACCTCGGCTGTAATGCCAGTGCCCATCCCACTGCTGTGGTGATGGGAACAGGTGAACATCCCACTGCTCATCGGTGCAGTCCTTGAGCATTCCCCCAGTGCAGGAGCAGCTGTATCATCCTTGCACACCTGCTGTGCAGATTTGTGTGCTGGGTATTAAGGAAAGAATTTTGTTAAAGCCCTGCAAAGCCTTAAGTAACTAATTGCTTACTGGTCATGGGGAAGTGGCCAGGGCTTGTGTGATTCTTTTTTGCAAATTTAATAAAATACACATTAGGAAACATGTATTTACATGCATAAAGGCCTCTATTTTCAAAAGCCTCATGTATGCTCTAAAGGTAGTAGAGAAGACCTCACAATATCCAACTCAAATGCATTACTTAAGATGAATTAAATACACCTGTCAAAATGGGCTTTGTCTTTTTTGAGAACTTTTTCTTTGCTGAAGAACTGAAACAGGGACTTTCTGGCCTTTTAATTGCTGATGATGCTCCAAGCTGTTCACTAGAACATCCTCTGGCTGCAGAAGTGTCTAGACCAGGTTCTCTCATTGTCACTGATTTTCACATCACACTCACTTCACTGATGTTAGTGGAGTGTCTCTTCCAGTGGGGAACAGAATATTACATTTTAGCTTTTGTCATGGGTCAGAATGATGAAATAAACTTTCTTGTCCTGAACATGTTACATCATAGTGGTGCTGTAATTATGAGCATCAGCAAAAGTAATTTTCCCTAAAAGATAAAAAATAATTGCTATTTATTGTCTAAAAATGAGCGATGCCTGTCAGATACATTGGGCTCTCCAAGCAGATCAGTGGAGATGGCTCCAGTGAGGCTTTTTGTTTAAGTTACTCTGTCTTCTGAGACTTTTGACTCAGACCCATGCAAATTGGTCTTCTTGAAAGGCATGATGACATAATTTTGGCAGCAACTCTCACCCCGTATGAAGGGATTAGGATTTGAGGCTTATGTGGGTGACATTCAGGATCCATGGGTTTTTTGCCTCCCCTTTGAGAGGGAGGCTGCAGTTGGTATGGGGTTTGAGTTGACAGCACGTGGTCAGCAGATCCTTGTTTAACAGGGCAATCACAGTATAAGAGCAGCCAAGGTAGAAAAACGCCACTGGGCTTTCAGTCCCTTGAAGTCACTGGAGTGAAGCTGGTTTATAATACCTGAGGATCCGATCTGTAAACGTTGCTTGGAGCTTCCTAGATATTTCCTGTCTTTTATTTCCATGTCTTGAGGGAAAGTCATCTCTAGGTGGCACCAGACACCACGGAGGAGTGCGGCACACCCAGCCTGAGATCGCAGTACCATTGCCACTGTGCTTCGGAGAATATTCTTGGTGTTAATAAAATGACTGACATTTTTAATGCTGTGTCGGTGCCGACACTGTATTGCAGCTATGTCCACGCTGGGTTTTCCCCTTTGATTTCTCTAGACATCTTCTAAGGCCCAGATCATGGTTTTATTCTAGACAAACATTTATTTATTTGACAAAAATGCAATCTCATCTTAGACAAGTGTTCACTGCAGTGAGGTTAGATTCACTAAATAGTTATGGGCAAAAAAAAAAAATAATTGAGAGAACAGGTAGCAAATAGTACAGTATTTGGTTCAGCATTTTCAAATAGTTCAAAATTTTCACTACAAATCATTGTACCAAGAGAAAATTCAGCAAAGCACTAACTGAGAAATTAATACAGTTTGTTTTTTAATTTGATATGAAGTTAAATGCTTGGAAGATTTTGGTTTGGAAAAGCAAGTAAGAAAATTTGGATTGACCAAAACATTTGATTTTGTTTTAGGTTTAGTAGAAAAGTGAAACAAAACTTTTGAGTTTTCAAACAGCATTTAACCCTCTGCTAGTCCTTTCAAAGTTTCGCTACCAGTTTTCATCTCACTGTATTTGAATAATGTATCTTTTAAATTCTGGATTTTTGCAGGTAATAGTTAAATTATATTAAATAAAAACAACATGGAATTCCTTATTACAGAATACAAGAAGTAATAGAGCATCAGACCTATTCACTGCTAGGATGACTGGACACAACTTTACTGAGATTGTTATACTGTCTAAAATTTGCATTATGATGAATTTCTAAAGGATTTCCATTTAGAGTTATTGGCTTGCTAGAAGAGGATTTTCATCTAACTCAGTGTATAAAATATTGTGTCCTGGATGTGCATGCTTTGTTTGCTGAGGCTGGCCAATGAGGTGGCATGAGCTCCCTGCTACACTTCAGGTAAAATATTCTCCTCCTCTGCTTTCAAGCAGGACTTCAAATTATGGCTGGGAAATCATCTTGCCTGAAAGATCTGCAAAATGAGTAAATTCCTTGGTGAGGAAATGCATACAGTTCCCTTTAGAGTGGCCTTTATCTAGCCAATTTCACTAGTTCAGGTAAGGAAGATATTAAATATATAAGGAAAATACTGGCTTGTTCTTAGTGAAGTCAAACAGATTGTAGTACAGAGGGACTGGTCTCCATCAGGTTTTGTATCTATAGTTGTTAGCCAAGAGAAATCAAAATCAAAATGAATCTGACTCTGGTATTTCATGATGTCTCTATATTTCCCAGTTAAGGGCACCTGAGCAGTGTAGCTGTGCTCATCCTGTGCTCACTGTTGTTTCCATTGGCAGAGGCTTTGAGGCACTGCCCAGTAATTGCCACCACATATAATGGCAAACGGCCCGTTTTGGTGTGATCTGTCACATTCCGGGGGGTGAACACTCAGGTGACCTTCAGCTTTTTTGTGTGTGCAATCTTATGTGAGGCTGTGCCCTTGCAGGTGGTCGACATCATGAGGATGAATGTGGACAAGGTGCTAGAGAGAGACCAGAAGCTTTCAGAGCTTGACAACCGGGCAGATGCCTTGCAAGCAGGTGCCTCACAGTTTGAAACCAGTGCAGCCAAACTGAAGAGAAAATACTGGTGGAAAAATTGCAAGGTAAGAATATAAATTCTTGTTGAGATTCACTTCATGGCAGGAATTACTTTCACTTGCATTTAATTCATTTGCCTGCAGGATGGAATCTCTGAGTCATCTCTTTTTGTCAAGGGGAGATAGATGTGCCTTGCCCTCTGGGCCCCATAAGTCAAGCAATTTTGATCTTTATTGGACCCTAAAAATTCTGCAGTATATAAAATGTAGATACAAATTGTGATGCTTCAGTCAGTGCCTGCAGATAGGGATGGGAAAGCATTCTATGTCAGTTCATGTTCCCTGTGTGAATCACAAAACCTGAGCAGGTGCAGTGAATTCTAGTAATGGGAGAAAAGAAGCCTTGTCCTTATGGGAGATCATCAACCTCTGGATCTTCTGTTAGAATAGTAAATCAAATTAAAAAAAAAAAACAACAAACCAACTTGGCTTCACAAACTGCTGTGAGAAGTAAGGAAATTACAGTATTTTATAAAGAGGGGCCAATTAGGATAGAGCAGGACTTTTTGCTGTCTTCAAAGTCTTAGCCTTTCCCAAGAGCAGAGGGAATCTCACTTTCCCTTGCTTTTTCAGATCTCCTCCAGTATTTGTGTTTCCTGGACCCAGACACTTCAGCTCCTCTTACTCATCCGAGATCCCATACCCCTGCTTCTTTCTACTCACGCACCACCAACATGAACACTGTGACAAAATTTCAGCTCCATTTCCATTTCTCTTCAATCTTTGCTGGTGACTACTCATGTCCACCCACATAAAACCACCTTTTCCCAAGGGAGAATCCCACATATATACCTCGCCAGTCTGTTGTCTGCTTTGTCTCTTCAATCTACAGTGCTATAAAATATAAAACAAGGCAAAATATTCTGGGTAAACTACATGCACAAACACTCCAGGAATAAGAGGAGAAGGTTAGAAGTTGAACTGAGCAGTTCCTCTGGGCCTCTTCTACCTGCTGCCAGTGCAGGAAGCAGGGCTTCTGGCAGCTCCAGGCACAGATTGTGAGTTAGATTCACCCATGTGACTGCAGTGACCACAGTGACCTACACTACACTAGACCTTCAAACCTACCCTCATTCTCCTTTCCTCATTGTCCCTTCTTGCTTTACCCTGACAAACAGAATCTCCCTGTCCTTCCTCTGGCTCACAAACTCTGGAAGGAGAGGGAAGTAGTGAAAAAAAAAATCTCCTGCAAGCCAATGGCTGGCTCTGCCTTTCAGACTTGTTAGGAGGAATGGAGGCCTTGATTTGCCAGGCCTAGGTTTGTTGTTTTTCAGTCTTTCCATTCTCACTGGGGTAATAATGGCACCTGGACTGCAGCATCCCTGGTGGCCTCGTCAGCATTCAGCAAGTCTCGTGTGGGGACCTCTACCCTGCACAGCTCAGTGCTGGTGAGGTCCTTGGACAGCTGCCTCTGTACCTACTCCTGTGGGAGCAGACTTCTGCTTTGCAATGAGCTATTTCCAGGAGAATGTGCTGGAAACCGTGCTGGTTAGCACGGGCTTCCTCTCCCAACAGCACAGGAACACAGAGCAGCACCAATAGCTGGGAGGCAGCAGACATCTCCAGCTGCCTCTGCACTGCCTTTGGGAACATGGGGAAGAGCAATCAAGTTATCCTGGTATAAAGTGGTACCTGCCATATGTGAATCCAGTCACTTAAATCACCTCTGGAGTTGTTTTACTTAGGAAATGTACTTTTTCTTTACTGCTGGAAATGGATGAAGTTGATCACTGCATCTTTAGCTGACAGGCAAGAACTGACTAGCTTTGAAAAGAAGCTGATGTCCACTGCTGGTGGTCAGCTGTTCTTAAAAATGACACTAACTCTGGGGCCTTAATAAGTCTGTTACAGTGACTCTTTTCAAGAATTAAAAGTATGAGGAAGGAGTCACCAAGTAAAAGTAAAGAAACTGAGGGGTTAATGTCTTTCATGTAAAAACCTGACTTTGTCTTTTTCTTTCCTATAACTTTCTTTTTCTAGATGATGATCATCCTTGGTGTAGTATGCGCAGTCATTCTCATTATAATTATAAGTGAGTAATTCATTTTCTCTTTCATTTGTGATCTCAATAGCTTGTGACTTAAGAAGTGTTGCTATATTAACAACCAAATCAAAACAAAAATATGGATATAAAATATTTAAACTGATTAATTTGTGAAATTTCCCTTCTAGTATCATGCTTTTATAGTGAGAATTACTGCAAACTCTCTGGACACATATAGGCAGGATTTGTTGACATTTAATGTTTTTTTATATTAGCATGTTACGTAACTTTCCCTAGGATTAAAGACTCTGCCTTTTTATGTTTTATATAAATTTTTATGCAGTCCAAAGAGAGCTTCCTTTCCTTACAATGAGTGCCACAGTCCTGGTGTTTTCTACTGAGAACAGTAATATTTGAATTACCTCATGCCTGTAAAAGGAGGGTGAAGCCCCACAGGCAAACAGGCATCTGATGAATTTTTTAGAAGTGTGTAGGTGCCTAGTTCCCACCAAATCAGCTGGAATTGGAGATGTTAGTGCTTCTGAAGATCCCTTTGTATCTTGAATGCCTAAAACATTGTTAAAAGATGGCCCAAAGTCTTACTGATTTATTTTCTCAAAAGATATCTCATTCCACACATTTGTTACAGGAAAGTTAGCTCTGAATGAATAATAGCAGTCGTGCTGGTTGGGACCCAGGGATCTTGTAATGACAGTAATTGAACATTTCATTTATGTAACCTCTGTGTTAGCAACAGCTGTTATGTGACATAACTGGAATATGGCATTAACTCCTAAGAGGAAGATTTCTTGAGTTAGACAATCCAGCTAGTAAACCAGAAGAGATTCACCAGCACTGTGATGTGAGTTAATTCCCAACTCTCAAATTACATGCTTGTATTCAGCGTGTTTCCATTTTCCTCTGTTGCTGCTCTAAAGAAGGCTTACAGAATCACCTGTAAACATGACTAAATGCAATGAGATACATGTGACAGTTTATTAGTCTTATGAATGCTGGCACCAGAGTGACCCAGAATAATTCTAGGGTTTCGTAACACTGATGCAGCAAGAACGGGAAATGGTTAGATATTAATTAACTATATTACCTGGGTACTCAAGGCAACTGGCTTCAAGGGAAAGACAGGCCTTTGGTCTGCAGTCTAGTGCAGCAACCTGGAAAGACAGATGTGCAGCCATTGAACTAACTGCCATGTATGTTATCATCACTGAGCATTGTGGGTATCTTAAGAAAGTAAAAAACAGTCCAGATAGCTCATAATTTCTCCTTAGAAGCTAAGGCTGAAATTACATATAAGTAATAATATAGTTTCCCTCCTGGTTTTAAATGTTGGATGCCTTTCCTGGTAAGTTAGGAAATGGCAGGTTTGACATGGGCCAGGTTGGGTTTAGGGCATTTAGTCACATACTTGAGTGTTACATCATTAAACCCAGGTCATGGCTCACCATAGTGAGATCTAGTGCAAGGTCAGTGAGGTTTAAATGTATCTGGACCTCAAGTTCTTTTTCCAGTCTATTTGATTCTTCTGTAATAGTGCCTAAAGGTTGCAGCTTCAGGAAGGACCCTGTGTATTGAACTCAATGCTGTATTTATTTACAGTAGCTCTCAAGGATGTTTAAATCCTACAGACATCAAGCATCCAAGCGCTGTCAGAGACAGCACCTGCCTGACTTTTCCAGTCCCTGATTTGAATGGGAACAGGATCACACCCTTCATGCAGGGCTGGCTATGGGTGCAGATGAACTGAGCTGTTCCTCATAGCAACAAGATACCATGTGTGGCAAAATGGCCCAAGCCAGGCTTCCCACCGTCCTGGGAGTGGGGCCCTGGAAAAGCAGGCACACAACCCATGGGATTGCAGGTGTTGCTGGAGCTGAGGATGGCAGCTAACATCAGTGTCTGTCCTTGCCCCTTCTATCTTTTTAGCCACAGTCTCCCCTGCTTTCCATTCCAGTTTCCCCTCCAAACTCCTTTTGACGTGGGAGGAGCATCCCCATTTCCCCTAGGAAGGAATACTGTGTGCAAGATGTGTCTGTCATGCTCTCTTAACTCAGATCTGCTAAAGATGTTTGCAATTCTCTGACATCGCACACTTCTGTAAGATAAAGCACAACAGTAATTCTGTAATAACTGTTGGGTTTTGTCTTTTTTTTTTTTTTCTTAATCTTTCTTTCCTTCTGCTTTGTTTCCCAGTTTATTTCTCCACTTGAAAAAACAAAGAAGGAAGACTTGGCACAACTTTGTTCATATCAACTGACAATATCAGTGTTCCTTTGTTGAACTCCGCTTTTTAATTCCTGGTGTCTTGGGATTTTTGCTTGTAATAACCCATAAGCATTCAGTGTGATGTATTTTGGAATTCTGTTGTTTCCACAAGAAACTGTACCAGCTAAATACTGCCAAGTAGTTCCATACACTGTCTTATCACTGTGTCTTAAAATGTGTATGCACTGACCTTCAGAAACTGTAGTATATGAAAAGCATCCTAAATCAACTCAGAATCAGAGAATACAGTTATGGGGAAGCTCCTGCTTAAAGGGACACTGTCAGGTGCATTGGACCCAAACCTAAGGTTGCAACAAACATTAGGGCCTTCTCAATCTGAGCACCTAAAGTTGGATGGCAAAATCCATTGTCAGATGTAACTTTTTGAGGAAGTATCTGCTACTCCCATTGAAGAGTGTGATACCTGCAAGTATTCATGAAAGATATCATATTTCAACTTAGCCAACCAAACACAGATTTTTTGAGATTAGTTGTAGTATCCAAGTCTAAAAACATTGCCTGAAGAAAATAAATAAGACTAGTTTATTATCTTCTATGGATTTAAATTTTTCCTTATGGGAAGCACCTTATGGTATTCCAAACAACCAAGATGGCCTCAATATGAAAGCCAGAAAGAAAACTGTATGACAACTAAAAAGCATTAGCTCGTACAATCTTGGCAAAGCCAAGTGAAATGCAAAATTGGTAACACAAGCATCGTCAATGACTAAGATACAGGCTCTTGCTAAAAACTCAAGGCACTGTTTGTCAGGCTTCATGGGACTCCTGTGAATGCCAAACCCCAATAGTTAGGCCCTGACTTGAAGCACATGAACAGCTTTGGTGATGTCTGTGGCTTCCCAGCACAGCTGTAGGAAGCTACCTCTGCACCGGTGTGCAGGAATGGTCCCCACTGGGAGGATCATTCAAAAATCAGGAAGAAGAAGGTATGGGGGAATAGTGGAGAGAGGCTGAGAAAGGGAAGGTGCCTAGCAAAGCTTTCCTGGAGAAGAGGAAGGCAAAGAAACACTGTTCAAAGTGGTGGTGTTAATAGGCTTTTAAAAATTGATTTTGTGTGTGTGTGTATAGTTCATAAATTATAGTCATCTTTGTAAAGTGCTCAGCTGAGATACCTATCATACTCAATAAGTTTAAACTAACATTTGATGTAACTAAAAGAAATATATTGTGGCTTGAGAGAAAGTTCTTGTATGCTTTTGTGAATTTCTTGGGGTTTTATCTTTTTAAAACACTGAATAGCTTAATCATAGTTAACCAAACTAAAAATGAATTATCAAATTTTGAGCCAGGCAATTCAGAAAGGGTCTTTTTAGGGTAACTCCTTCAGAATTTCTAAAAATAATTCATAGAATAAAAAAAATATTGGTGGTTTGGGGTTTTTTTGTCTGCAATTTAATTAGGCAATAGAAATGGTGATAGCAGTGTAAATATTTCCAACTTGGAGTCTCTCTCTTGACATGGTTTTAGATTAAAAAAATGGAGACCCAGACCAGTTTGTTGCAGCGAATCTAAATACAAGTTGTGCTTAAACAGATTTTTGCAGAGAGAATAAGTTGAAAGCTTTCAGTTGCATTTTTCCTTATGTATTTATTACTACATAGTCACATGCACTGTTTTGTATCATTAAGTAGCAAGTGGCCACAGTCCTAATGAAAGTGAATGTTCAAAGTTACTAATGCGCCGCTGGACTCCCTGGTATGCCCTGTTCACTTCAGTCCTTCAGTTGGGTGAGCACAGAAACAATTCTGAAATCCTGAAATTCTGCAATGGGCCAGACAGAAAACTTGGCTGTCATGAAGGGCCTGGCTCCCTGAGGTGACACAGCTGAGTACTGTGTATCACTGAGCCTTCACTGGAAAAGGAATAAGCCATCCAACTTCAGGAAACCTTTTAAACTACTAAGATAATTGGATAGCTGATATGAAAGAATTTTCTCCTAAGAGTGAGTCCTGCCACCCATACCCATGTTGAGCATGGCTTAATCCTCCCAGGGCTTCTCTACTGAAAGGACTCATGAGATGAAGACAGCTTTCCCCCAAGTTGGTACAATCAGTAAGGTTTCATGCTGATATTTAGAGCCTTAAGGTAGATGTTCCTTCTCCTCTGAGAGCCTGAACTGACCACTGAGATGATAGGGCTGCAAATACACCTCCTGAGTTTGAATCCTCTAGCTACAAAGATGCAAAGTTCCCAAATGAAACTGTGGTGAAAGTGCTACAAGGATGCAAAGCTTACATCCTCCTAGCTCATGTAGATGAAGAAAGTTAATAATCAAAGCGGGAGCTTTATGTGAGAGCGGAGGTGGCTGTGGGACGTGTACTCTCTCTCAAAACTGTAACTAATGGGGATGACTCCTAAACGTTAGTGAGAATTTGCAAGGAAGAATCCAGTCAAGAAACCTACCCTCTGGTGAGTTGTAAAATGTTTGTAAAGAGACTGTTTCCTCCTGTGTGCTAATGAAATATGCAAAATTAATATGTTTAATTCATTTAAGTTGATGCTCAATGTTTGCTACTAGTTGTGCTGTGGTGGTTGGTTGCATTTGGTAAGATAAACCACGTAACCTTTCTGATTCAGACCAGGGATCACGAACAAGGGTGCCCTTCCCTGAAACACAGACCCAGAGCTGAACTGCTCCTGCAGAGGGTTAAATGTTCACCATGGAGCATACGGTAATACAGGACTGTTCAGGGTCATAGGTTGTGCAACAGCATCCCATATGTGTAGACTGACACAGAGGACAATCTATATAAACACAGTTGGAGATCTTATTTGTGCTGAAGCCAGGATTGATTGCTTTCTACTCACTGCCTCTGCATTTAAAATATCTGTGCAGTGACAACTGCCTACCTGTAATAGTAAATTTTCCATGAAAAGTTTAGCTCAGTCTTGTTCAGTCAGCACCAATTAGAATTTCAGTTACTGGGTAGAATTTCAACTGCTGCCCTTCATCACTAAAAACTGCCCAGGCTCTCACCTTGGGCTGGTAAAAGGTCACAAAAAGGCTTCCTTTTAGTGACTCCCCAGCAAAACCTCAGGGGATAACAAGGCCCTTGGCTTCCCACTGCCCCTTTGGGGACTGAACTGAAGACTTCCCAGATTGGAAGCAATGCTTCTGATAGCTTTAGCCAGAGTTAGACATTGCTTCAGATTTGCATATTCCATCCTTATAAGAAGCACTCCCTGTGCTTTCTGGGCCACAGCTGTACATCTGGGATGCTGTACAGCATGAGCTGCCATTCAGACACAGCAGAGCTGGAAGGAGGTGGTTGGGAGCTGGTCAGTGCCTGCACCATGGCTGCTGTGTGGCTTGGCAATGATCCAATGTCAGCATCTGAGCTCGAGGATGTGCTGTTTGCATCTACTCTGCACAGGCTGGTGAGGTCCTGCTTGGGCATTACACCTTCTCTCTAATTTACCTTATCTTGCAGTAACAGAGATGTGGCTTTAAACCTACAGACATTGCTACACAGAACTTGGCAGGAGAACATAGTGTGGAACCCATACGAGGTACTTGACCTGGTTTTCACTTGACAACATTATGTAACAGCACAGTCAATCCAACATAGTCCAGCATAATCCAATACTATTAGAAGGAGGATGGGAGGATCTGATAAACATTCTGACTGTAACCTAGGGTCTGTAAGAGAAGAAGTGATTTAGAAATGTAGTCAGTTGTATTTTTAAAGCTGGCACTTTCATTGTGTGGGAACCTGCATAAGGTTAGCCCTGGAACAGTTCAGACAGGTAAAATAATTGACTTTTTTTCTTTTTAAATAGTGATCCATAGTAAGTGACTTAAACACTCACAATGATGGAAGAACAGGACAGTATTAGCTGTGCAAGGAATGAATCAGAACAGCCACAATCTGCTGGTTTTGTCTGAGTAGCAAGACTTTTTGAAATTCTACCATTTCTGTGTCTCATTTCTATCACTGCTCCTCTGACAGGGCCTCGCATAACTTTAATTTTATGAACAGATGGACTACTTCTTGTCTGGTTACAATGGATTTTAGCTCTTAAGAGCAAGTCCCTGACTTGACACCTGTATTAGGGCATACCTGCAGACTGGAGATGTACATCTACCACGAGAGACTCAAATTTCAGGAACTTTTAGAAGCTCAGATGTTACTCAACTCTCATATTTTACAGAGTGAATTTTTCTCTATTCCATGGGAGGTTAACTACAGAGTGGGAATATGCATAATCTATTATTTTTTTATGACAGCACCTTGATTGCACATGTTAGTGCCAGACCTTCACAAATAAACTAGAGAGCACTTGGGTATGATCCAGGATTTAGATCTCAATTCTGCTTCTCCTGCCCTTTGGCTAAACCAGAAGCCATATAAGGCACTGGGCTCCCTCCCAATGTACACGGTGAGTACTGGGGAAAGGCTTCAAAGAGACCAAAGTCTCTTTGATCTGGATTTTGTCTTGACCTGAACTTTAGACTCGTAACAGATCATAACCTTTGGGCCCACTGTAATCAGAAGACTGAGATGCTCTTCCAGCCAGTTCTTCCTCGCACCTTATTTAGGCCCCTCTTGCTAGACAAGATACATTTAAGCATGTGTTTTTTCAAGCCAGGCAAAGCACAAGCACCCTCAAATTACCTTCTTTAAAAGCAAAGCAAAAAAGGCTGAAGAAAGCAATTTGAAAAAAAATGAATTCGAGCTCGAGAAATGATTGGCTGAAGGTTTCTCAAATGGTAAAATTATTTTCAAGAGGAATACTAAGTTGGGATGTATGAAACAATCAAACCAGACCCTCACATCAATTGTTCTTTCTGCATCTGGTCTCCTTCAGAAATACTTCTTTATTCCACTTGGGGAAACGATTTTGTTTTCTTCTTCAGTTGACTTCCCTTCCTCAGTTCATTAATATGTGTCACAATTGATGTGCTCAATAGCTTGTTTTCTCCATTGAGAACCATAAGACTCTCTGCCTTTAAACACATGCATAAAGAGATATCTGAGCCACCCAAGGAGTTTACCTTTCTTCCTGATGCATTGACATTTAAAAGCTACATCTTGCAATAAAGCAGAAAAACTGTGGCAGTCTGGTTACATGCAGTTTTGGTGGAGTAAACACTTGATTATTCAACAATGAGTCATTCCTGCAGTAACCTCATTCTGTCATGACTGTATCACATCTGCTAACTCTCCAAAGCAAAACCCATAACCTGTGCTGGTTTAAAACATGAATACAGCCTCATGGTTCATACATAACACTCTATTCAACCAAAGAAGCCATGTGCTATAAGTTTAAAAGGGCAAAGTACTTGTTCTCAAAGAGAAAATAGCATATAAAGCAAGAAAAACAATTAGGAAAAAACCCTTCTCCATTCTTGAGCTCTTCTCACAGTGTCTGTTTTCTCCATTATTCTTCAAGCCTCTCTCTGTTCTCTTAGAAAGCCTTTGTGTGTTTGGAGTGTAGTGTATTTGGAATATGGTATACTGAGGCCAGGACTGCTCTGCCCTCTCAGTTGATTCCCTGCCTTCTGCCATATTCTTACTGTTGAGCTCAGTCTGAGCTCAGGTAGGCCTTGAGTGGAGCAGAATCTTTTCCCCATAATGCCCTGCTGCACTCAAACCAGCCTCTACTCTCTGGACAAGAACACTGGAAGCAGAATACAGCTCCTGGGTCTTAATTTGGTTCAAAATTATGTGATACAAAAGAAGGTTACTGGCTTTGAAACAACAGCACTTTTATTCCATTACTTTAAATCGTATCACTGGAATTTTAATTAAATGTTTTTAACACTTCTTGTAACAATAATTTCATCAGTTTTGTTGGAAAGAGAGGAAACAGCAAATAAGGATAGTGTAGTAATGACAATATAGTAAACTGAGAAATGGTTTCAGTGAAATATAGCCAACATTCAGTAAATTCCTCTTATAAGTGCTCTACATAAGAGCACCTTTTGTATGTTAAAATTAAGCGGTGCTCATCTATTGAAGTAAATTTACCTACTTAAAATGAACTATGACAGATGGTTAAGTCTTTTTTCTTGAAAATGCAGGAGATATATGCAGGAAGGATGATCTGACATTTTTTGCAGAGAATGCCATTTTGCTTAGAGTGCTGTCTGAGTATCCACAGACACACTGCACAAGTGGTTGAGGACTCGAGTCAAACAGGACCTCAGAGCACTTGGTGCAGTAACGATACACACTGAG